CTCTTCCTTTAAAAATGAGATTTATGCATTTCTTTGAAACAGTTTTTTTCCCCCCAACCCTCCCTCCCCCGTGTCCAGACTACTTTCACTTTCGAAAGACACGCTGAATTTTCATATCCTCTTTCAAAAATAAAGCGTAGGCTAGCACTGATTTTTAAGCACTTTTGCTGACAAAAAATTTCACCCCCTACTAAGAGAGCACTGGTTAGCATTTACCTCCAGTGGCTCAGGTCAAAGGTAGTGTGTACAGCAGGGTGTGCAATAATTTTTGCCTGGGAGGGGTAGGGCCAATACACTTCCATGCTTTCCCTTCCACAGACCCTGATCAGTCTGGGGGTGGGAGAGTGCACAAAATCTTTGCCCCCAGAGAACTGCCAGCAGTTCAGAACAGCTGGTGGTTCCCTCTAAGTTCCCATCCCCTGGTGGTGAGAGGAGACTTTTTGAGCTCCCTCCTGCTACCCCCAGGTCAATCAGAGCCCGGGGACAAGGAGCACATGAAGTCTCCTGCTCCCTGTCAAGCCCTGCAAGGGAACACAGTCATTAAAATCTACCACCAGCTGAGCAGCAGCTGGCAGTTGACTAAGTGTTGAGCCCCTTGCAGGGCAGGAGGAGACTTCATGCACCTCCCCCACCTTTATCCCTAACTGGCTTGGGGGTGGGGTGGAGCACACTAAGCCTCCTCCCACCCCTGCCCTGGTCCTGCAAGGAAGTTGTGCTGTTTAAAAATCAGGACTTGGGGGTAGGGGGAGCGCACAGTCTCCTCCCACTCTGCCAGGGGTGCATGGTGCTTCTAAGCGCTGTATACTCCTTGCAGGGTGGGGGCAGGGCAGATGGAGACTTCATGTGCTCCCCCCACCCCCAGGCCCTGATTGGCCTGGGGGAGTGGCAGCATCTTCCCTGGCTGGATCAACTCACGTGGTGGACTGGATATGACCCGTGGAAGCCGTTTTGCCCACTCCTGGTGTAGAGCCCACAAGAATGCCTCTGTGCCTAAGAGCTGCTTACAAAAGCTGAGTGGAGCCAGTTATTCTCGTGCCAGCTTTATTTTTAAATGGCTTGATCAGCACTGAGTCACCAGGGTCCCTTTCTGACTGGGAGTTGTAGTTGAAAACCAGACACCTGGTAATCCAATGAGACTCTAAAGTAAGGGCAAAGAAATTTTGAGAAGCTAAAGTTACTGATGTGGGAGACAGACTTGGTAAAGGGTCTACTTCCATGAAGGGCAACCTAGGCTAGTGAGTGGGCCACATGAATGGCCCATCTTCATCTCAGTGAGCTGCAAGATTATATGTGCTTGCTACATTCTAATAGCAGATGCAAATGACGTTTTTTCCCTCATTTAATGAGTTAATATGCATAAACTCTACATCAGAAGGACCAAAAATAATCAAAGTAGAATGCTGATACTTTCTGATCATAATGGACTAATTTTGTTCTTCCCATAATAGAAGAACTAGAGGACACCAAATGAAATTAATGGGTAGCAGGTTTAAAACTAATAAAAGGAAGTTCTTCTTCACACAGCGTGTTGTCAACCCGTGGAACTCCTTGCCAGAGGAGGCTGTGAAGGCTAGGACTATAATAGAGTTTAAAGAGAAGCTGGATAAATTCATGGAGGTTAGGTCCATAAAAGGCTATTAGCCAGGGGATAAAATGGTGTCCTTGGCCTCTGTTTGTCAGAGGCTGGAGAGGGATGGCAGGAGACAAATCGCTTGATCATTGTCTTCGGTCAACCCTCTCTGGGGTACCTGGTGCTGGCCACTGTCAGTAGACAGGATACTGGGCTAGATGGACCTTTGGTCTGACCCAGTACGGCCGTTCTTATGTTATTTGGATATGAGATGTTCTTAAATCAGTTCACCAAGTACCAGCCTTTAATCATCAGAATGTTGCCACTTCATCCTCAGACTCTACTACGCTGCATGAAAAATAGCAGTTAAATCTCCTTCATAGTTTTATGCTGCAATGCTGACAAATTGTATAACTAATAATTGCAATCCAAATGCTAGCAGAGGCTATAAATTACATTTCCTAACCACTTTCAGCCAGAACCACACACATAATTTGGTCATGGCCAAACGCCTGAGGGTATATCCTTGTCTGTTTAAAGATTTGTGCATTAGAGACCTGTACTGTTGACTGAATTAGTGGAATTGCACTTGTGTAAGTAACAGCAGTACACATCTTATTTCTCACTATACTCTGAAGGGAGGAAAGGAGAGGTTCCTTAAACAGATCTGATATTGTCTAACTAATACAAATGGACAACCAAGGACAGCATACCAAATCAATTATGCATGTATATTAGGTTGTTTTCTATTATGAACACAAT